ATGGTAGAGATGATTCTTTGACCCAATTCACATGACAATCTTCTTCTCTACACTGCATCGTCTTGTTCGTGAGGTATGTTCTTGTGTTCTTTTTGAAAGATGTTTATAATTTGATCTCTATCAAACAGGGCAGATATGCTTTGCTGGGTAGAAAAAACTTGCAGAATCAATATGGTAAGGCGGTGTTTGTTCTGGTGGGACAAGAAGGAAGCCTGTGGGATTGGAGAGGAAAAGGAATTAAGTCCCGGGAAGATGAGGTCGTTGCACAGCTTAGACAAGAAAGAAGAAATTATTTTTTAATGTTATTTAATTAGTTTTTTTCTTATTAAATAAATTATATTTGCAGTAAAACATGAAGGTATTTGATGGAATAAAAAATATATATATTTTAACTTGATTTTTTTAAGTAATTAATAGTGTACATGTGTTCACACCAAAGTAAACTGAACAAACTAAAGCTGATGTTGATATTTGTTTTTTACGACAATAGCAGCTGGGTAGAACTGTTGGAAAGTTATAGGATCAAAATGTACTTTACCCTTGATTTTTACCTTGGAGATTGCTTGTCTACAGTTTACTTGATCCTTGTAGTTTCCTATTGGTTTCATTTGTCACGTGCACGGTTCAAAAGAATATGTAAAATGCAGCTCGAGAGCTACATCTATATTAAAAAAATGGTTACCGAGTTTGAAGATTTTGAATCTACAAATCCCCATGAATAATGTTAAAATGATTAAATAATTATCTCAGTTTAATAATTTAAATTATTATATAAAATTTTAAAATATAATTTATATTATTTTTTAATATATTTCTTTAAATAAAAAATGCTTCAAACAAAAAGAATATATAAAAATAAAACACGAAAGCTATATATATATATATATATGATTACCCAGTTTCAAGATTTTGAATCAACAAATCTTCATTAATATATATTTTTAAATAAAAATATTTTAAAAATTTATATATAAAAATAAAAAGATTTAAATTTATAATTACTTTATCATCAAAGCTTGATACTATATCAAAAAAAATATTTTAATTTAATAATTTAAATTATTAAATAAAATTTTAAAATATAATTTATATTTAATATACTCTGTCAAATAATTTTTAAAAAAATTTAAAACTGGTATAAAAACCCATCAAAAACCGTCACAGTAAAAGGAGCAGATGAAAGAAAAGAAAAGGACGGGAAGTAACCACCGCCACGACAGCTGCGGTTGCCCACACCAAATAATCACCGTCATGAAGTGGGTTTACGTGGGGTGTGTGGGTTGGAAGGAACCTGGAAAGGGAGAAAGAAATTGTTTAGGGTTTGTTTTTTATTTAGAAAGTACAGGATTTCTATTTATTTATTTTTCAATATCGGTTTTCCTTACCGTAAATAAATTGATTGTAGTTTTTTCTTATTATCTTTTCCAAGACATTAATTTTAATTTTCTTAAGATATATAAATTTCGTGTTTATAAACACTTGTTTAAAGACACATGTCATGTTTCATGCCCGGTAGATTAACAAGAAGATATGTTTTTTATTAGAAAATAATCCATAATAATTAAGTTAAGATTTTAAAAAATTAAGAGTTTATCTTAATTTGAAAAAATAAATAAATAAAAGGGATTTTAGGTGATTTAGTCTTGTCTTTTTCAAGAGACTTGAAGCCGTCAACGAACGCTCCCCGAGTGATGAAAACATAAATACCGTATGCTAGGAACCTTACAAGGGATTTCAAGTGAATTTACTTCAACCTATTTTAGAAGCTAATATTGTACGCCACCACCAAACACGGCAGCCGAAAAGCATCAATATCATTCTATAGCTTTGCAAATTCGAAGTAAAATTGTCTCCTTGACTTGCTGACGGGGGACTTTCTTTTTACCTAATTAATTTGCATATCAGACTGAGGAAATATTGAGGTTTTTTTTTTTTTTGGAATTCTGTTGAATTTTCTCTTTTCGGTTTCATCTGGTAAAATCTGAAAATAACTCAATTTCAAAAGCTTTTATTGTTGTGAATTTCATTATCTATTTTTATTTAGAGTATGTTTGTTTTGCTGTCATTATTGTAGTTGCGGTTGAAAAAAATGATTTAAAAAAAAACACTTTTTTGTGGTTTATATATATATTTTAAGTGTTTGGTTAAAAGTGTGGTTTGACTTTATTGTTGTTAAAAACATGTTTGGTTAAACTTGTGGTTGCAGTTGTTTTTGTACCCAAAATGATAAAAAAAAGACATACATAAAATAATTCTTTGTGTTAAGAGAAAATAAAACATTTTGTCCACATAAATACCAGCAAAATAATAAAAGTGTGATTTGTTATTACAATTAAACATTATTGTCTCATCAAACTATTTGCAATGTCATCACAAATATAATCCATACGCAATGCCCTCTGGTGTCCAGTTGTTTGTTATCGTGGAACGACATCAGGAAAAGTATCTGGAGGAACGAAATCAGGATAGCTATCAAACTTGTTGAATGCAACATCTTGGCCCGACTTCCGTCGAATATAGTTGTGCAACGCCATTGATGCGAAAACAATTTTAACCTGTGATTTATAAGGAAACTCAGGCATAATTTGCAAGATTCTCCATCTTTTCTTTCAAACTCCAAATGTACGTTCGATTACACATTGTAATGATGAATGCACTCGGTTGAATAGTTCCTCCTGACTTCGTGGCTGTCCTTGTCGATGAAATTCTAGAAGATGATATCTCTCCCTTCTATATGGACCCAAGTAACTGTACTCATTTGGATATCCCGAATCAACGAGATAATACTTCCCTGTATAAATGTACTAATTGTTTAACGCTTACAAAATACTTCATAGAAAAACAAATTTGACTAGCTGAATAGCAACCATATGTTTTTTTTTAATGAATATCTTCAGGAGGCTGCAGAAATTGTACATTTGTATTTCCAATCGCCTCATAAAATATTCTTGTATCGTGAGCACTACCTTCCCACCTAGCCCAAACAAATGTAAATTGCATGTCAAAGCTACATACTGCCATTATATTTTACATCAGTATACCTTTTTTACCAATAAATGGAATTTGATTCTCTTGTGAAACACAAGCACGTACATGTGTACCATCAATCACTCCAATGCAATTCTATAAAAAAAAAAAATTGTCAAAGCAATTTAATTGTACTTAAATATTTGACTGTAACCTTTTCAAATATTTAACTACTTGTCGAAAGTATTACTTACCTTGAAATAGGGCATGTATCTCGGATTCATTTCAATTTCCAATGGTGTTGTTGTGAATTCTGGATCTACTGGTCTTATTAAATCAGCTGCTAGCAAGCAAACAGGACGAAGAACCTCGTTGAAATTTCTGGAAACAGTTTCACCTGAATGCTGAAAACGCTCTTGCACTTCCCTATTCGAAGCACCTAGAGCTAAAGTGTAGAGAAACATGTCTACTTTCTCAATAACACTCATCCGTCTTGACTGTTTCAACCTATACATAGTTTCCAACTCAAAAGCCAAACTCTTCAATGTGTCTGCATCCATCCAAAACATGTTCACATAACGCATCCAATGCCCATTTAAAATTTCAGTCAACCATCGCATGCCAGTGTTGTATGAATCCATACATGGCTCTTTGTAAATATAGGTATTGTAATACAAAGCCAGTGCTCCAGCAGTGCATATGACTAATTTAGTTCGATCACACTCTCTATGCCAAAATAAATCACCACCGTCATCATCATCCTGTTGATTTAAGTCGTCGTCCTGAACCTCATTGTTATAGTTCCCATAACCATCACCGAAACTACCCCCAAACCCACTTCTTGAACTTGTACCAACAAAACCATCAGACACATATCGACCAATATTATTCATAACATTTTCATAATGATCATCAAAAAGCGCATTAAACCAATTCGCATCCATATCTACAAACACATCTTAATATTCGTCCTGAACCTGCAGAGTACTGGTAAATAATACATGTTCATTAAATAATATGTTTTGATTTTTTTATGTCATTAATGGAGGTCTTAACATAAAATATTTATGGTTGATGAAGCGCTAAATATCGAACATGTTTAACTTATACGTAACTCATTAAATATTTTCAAACACAACAATAATTGTAATTTTCAACTTGAAACATAACGGTAATATGACAGTTTTCACTGCATAATTTGTGTACATTATTTTAAATATTAATGGTGACATTAACTTATATTAACAAAATATTCATTGCAGCAATCCCTAATAATCAAACTTATTTACAAAGACATTAATTTAAGTAAAAAACATTTAAATTGAAGCGATCCCAACAAATCGCACATATTTAATTTCCAAGTAACACATTCAATATGTTACAACACAAACTTAAATTGAACCCTTAAAACAGTGTTCATACACATCCAATGCTTGAAATATATGGTGGCAAGAAATTAAGGATTCATGAGGAAAAAAAAAACTAAAGATAAGGGACTGTTATGTAAATAGGAAAAAAAACAAAAATGAACTTGCTTTGTTGACAATAATAGCAGTCCTATCAGATTTACCATCTAAATTTGATAACCAAACATAAAGATAAAGCTGTATTAACTAAAAAACAACCCTAAAATCAACAACTAACCTTCTAAAGTCAATGAACTTGACTTTGCAATGTAAAAACAACAACAAAACCTCCTAAAAACAGCCCTCAATACACGTGGGAATGCAAAATATTTTGTGGCCAGCCAATGAAAATGCTTTGGAATGATAATGCATCTTAAATAGAAACACACACAGTATAAACCAATATATATTCATTGTCATACCCATCAGCAAACTAGTATTTGTACCATAACCAACCATTCAACCCATCAACTCCAATTCAACCCACTATCAAGCATTCAAGTGAGGAACAATAATTCAAGGTTGTAGCAACAATTCCAGTCAACTAATATTCAACCAATCAGCTGTCATTCAACTCATAAAAAACCCTGAAATCTGTTAAGTTACAATATGAAATCCTAGGCTGAAAAAGCAAACTGAACACAAGGTTTTCCAGCCATTCAAACTAGGTTATAGAAGTCAACATGAAACCTACAATTACAGCTTGTAAAAGGTACAACAATAGGTATTAAAAACATCTCAAACATAACCAATTAGCCTACAACTTCAAATACAAAGAAAGTGCTCAATATATGATACGTTACAAGTTAAGAAACCAGGGAAAAAACAGCAAAGGCATAACCGTTTGCATCAACCATTTAGCAATTCTACAACTGCAGCAACACCTCATGCACCTAATCTTTTGTGGACTTTTAACTGCGAGAAAACACATAACCATACAACATGTTAACAGCTCATTGGAATACAAACCAAACATTATAAGTGTGCTAAATATTTAAAAAAAAAACACTTGAAATATGAAATGCATGCAATAATGACCAAAATATATAACACACAACAAAATTTAATTGTTTCAATATATAACATAAAATAACATACATAACTGTTATTTTTCCCTATATCAAATGTAAACTTATTTCAAGGTCTGTAGGTTGCCCTTCGATCGAACATTAATTTCAGCCATTGAAATTTTTGATCCATATCACCAATTGCTGCCCATATTTCCCTCCTACTTCTAACTAAAAAAAACTCAGTTGCAAAACAATACAACTCACTGCCAAACACCACTTCCTCAATGGAGTGAAACTCCTTCATAACCTCTTCTATGCTACATCTTTTTTATCCAAAACACTTGACGTGCATTCACTCTTGGTAGACACACTATCAACTAACTTATCTAATCATGAAAACAAATGTGATCTCCTTCCGACACCCTTTTTTTTTCTCATATTGTTGGGAACTTTGTTGCACGCCTTTTCTCTTCCCACCACTACTACTAGGATTGCTTGTGCTGTTGGCAAAATTGACACCAACCACCATATTATTGACATCAACAACGAAATTTGGTAGACTATCCTCTTCAGAATCTCCACTACCCTCCTGAAGATGAGGGTCCTCATAAATTGTGTTAGTTGGCCTTTGAACGACACCATCTTCATCAGAATTCAGACCCTGTGATGGAGCCCAAGCATATTGACCGATAGCAACAGTGTTTGTAAACATGATATCATATTACAACACAATGTTGGATCGATACCAGCATGCCTAAACTTTCTTGATCCACGTATCTCTTACAACAAAGGGACAATGAAGAAATAAATGCATAAAAAATGATGTAAAAGCACGGCATGAAACAGTTTATTACAGCTCTGAATATACTAAAAATAACAAACCTGGTTTATAGCTTTCCACCATTCATCACGAGTTGCAATTGTTCCAAGTTCAGCACTCCATCCTACTCCTGTTTTGGAAATCAACCTTTTCCATATTCTCCAATCTTTTTTAATTTCATCCCACTTATTCTTTAATTATGCTTTCGTTAATGCATGGCCAGTTTGATCCTTAAAGAAATTCATAACATATTTCCACCCAGCTTTGTCGAAATGTGTGTTGGGTCGCATACCTTGCTCAATTGCTTTAATACATGTCACAAAAAGCGTGTAACATCTCTCTAGTCCAATAAGCCTTATCTTGTGATTGAGAATCGTCCATATTCTTGATAAAAATATTTTATCTAATATGCAATTAACATGTTAATTTCCTATAGGCGATGTAAAGGACATGAAATGCACAATTTATCTTAATTAATAAATTGCAACCTGAAATACAAAATGCAAATTAAGAACATAGACTTAACATTGTAATTGCTAGGTTTGTTTCTATTAATGTTTCAACAAGCCAATGTTTGCATTGCCTAGTATTACTAATATTTCTTTCATTTTCTCTAGCTTTTTTCCTTCTGCCACACATTTAGCCTTTGTTCGGTTTCCATGCAGTTTCTACACCATATGTTGCCCTGGACAGGGCAATAAATTCCAAGTTCAATTTCATGTGAAGCAGCTACCGAAGGCATGTATCAGCACCTGAAATATTTCAAAAAAATATTAAACATATTGTATATTTTCTTGACGGGCTTACAACCTAACTCCCTTCTTCCAATTTCCATTATTGATAAATAATAATAATAATAATAATAATAATAATAATAATAATAATACAAAAGGCTATGAAAACTCACAATATTTTTTGTTTTTCCCTAATGTTTAATTTCTTAAATCACATAGAAAATGAAAGGTAAATATCATAATTCTCTAACCATTTCGGGGTATAATTATTTTGCAAATAGAAATAGAGAATCAGAGATAATTGTGCAACTGAAACAGAGAAACTGACCTTGAATTTTTTTGTGCAACTGAGACAGAAATTGATAAGATGCTTGTGCTTTAGCTTTCCAGGAGACTGATTTCAATGCTCTCTTTGGTTCTGGCAAGGAAGACACAGTAAGAGAAAATTTTGGTTAGAGAACACAGTTTGTTTTAGCTTGATCTATACGTTTTTTAGGTCAAGTGCAAAGAAAATTACCTGGTTCAATGCATATCTTCTTCAACTGTGAAAGGAGTTCATCATGGTAGGAGATCAGTGGCAGATGGGCTTCTATACTCGGTTACAAACACTGTCTGTACAGTCAATGAAAAAATGGTGGGTGTGTTTACCACATTGAAAGCACGAGGAGGAGCATTGATTTTTTAAGAAGAGGGCAGTTGTAGAGGAGGAGAGCTAGGGGAGGCGAATGTGGAGGCGGGGAGTCGATCGTAATGTTGAGCAGGGCTAATTAATTTTTTTTGTAAAGGTTGCAGTGTTTTCTGAAGCGCAACCATGGAAAAAACAACTCCCACTTGCTTTTACTTAACTTGTGTTTTGAACACAATTTTTGTGGGTCCCATGACGTTTGAAAACTCTGGTAGCTGTTAACCAAACAGCTTCTTTTAATAAAACACAAGAAATGTGGACGCTTCCACGTAACTAAACAGGTTCTTAATCTACAAATAGTGTAAGAAAGTTCAAGATTTATTACACCTGTAAAACAATAAATTTGATAAAAATACCAAACCAAAGATATCACTTCTTTTAGAAGGTGTTTAAAAATGTAATTGTGTTTATTTTTTAAAATATATTTTACTATAAAATATATTAAAAAAATTATGATATTAGAACATCAAAATAATAAAAAAAAATATAAAAAAACATTGAAACTCTTTATAACATTAACCCCAACACTTTGTTGTTCTTCTCGTCTTTTGTCTTCCAAGGAAACATTTAAACTTGTATTTGGAACTTATACTTTGATTCTTAGAGTTTTTCTAATGTTTCATCATTTCCATTATTGGTTTGTTGAAGAAAAAATATAGACATCAATCCTTTATTTTTTTCAACTCTCACTCTAATTTTTCTGTCAAACTGGAGCTCATTATAATTTGGGGTGTTATGGCAATTTTTGTTTTATAAACTGTTTTTCAAATTATTTTTTGTTTAAATTCTTATATTTTTAAGTTTTTATTATTATTTTAATGTGCTAATATATATATATATATATATAATTTATTTTTTTTTCAAAAAGCACCATTGCAAATTATATAATTCATGCGTAGCTTCCCGTGTCTGCTCGGTTAATTTGCGAGGAAATTCCTAATAGCTGTAGGGGGGAATTAATGTTTTTTCATTCTTTTATTTTCGATTTTATTAAAATAATCTTTAATGTCATAATTCTTATTCTTTTCCTTCAACGCATGGAGGAAAAAAAACAAAAAAGAAAGTAATTCCGTATCCGTGGTTGGTATTGCATCAATGGGGTGGAGGGTAATAGCGAAGAACTTTCATGGCAAGCACACTGCCGGCCTTTTTCTAAAAGAACGCGGATGGGGCACCAATTTCCTTCCTATTTAAAGGAACGTCTCCTTCTAGCTCGACATGCAACGAGGAGGAGGGTCTGCAGCTGGTGTGCATGCTCCTTGGTCTCAGTGCTTGTGCCCTTTTCATGGATGGGATCAGCGAGGGGCAAAAATCGCATAAGAGAGATGTACAACGGGTAGGGAAGAGGAAGAGAAAGATCGATATCGACTACCCTTCTTTTTCTCTTATGCATTTTTGTCCCTCGTTAGCCTCACCCATATTGTTAATTTTTTGTTTTTTTAATTATTGTGGGTATTCTAATTAATTTATATACACTTGATTAACTTGATTAATTTTATAAATTTTAAAATTAACAATTATATAAGTTTACAATAACCCTAATAACCTTTAAAAAACAAATCTAAACCCCTCCAGTATTGCCCGTATTATTACTTTGCTCTAATAAAGCCATGGTGCAATTCACTGAAATAAGGTATGTTCTGGCTTTTTTTTTTTAAGATGTTTATAATTTGCTCCCTCTCTCAAAAAGGGGAGGGTTTCTTTGTTAAGTGGACAGAATTTGCAAAAACAGTATGGAAGGGGCAAGAAGGAAGCATGTCGGATCGGAGTGGAAAAGGATGCCATAGGAAGCTGAGGTTGCTGAACATCCTGGAGAATATTTGGTATTGTGTTAAGTGTTAACTTGTGTTTTTTACTTTGATCATGATAAAAAATTATTTGTTTAACTAAATAATTTTTTTTTAATGTTTTAAATATTAATCTTATAGAAGTTAAAATAACATATTTTTTGTATTTTTTTATTTATTTTGTTTGTAAAAATCTATTTTATATTAGTTTTAATCAAATATATATTTTTTAAATTTAATTTTTAAAAATATGACTAAAAATATATTTTCAAAATCTAATTTTTTAAACCAGAAACAATTAAGAGAATTCTTTTTTTAATGTTACTTGATTTGTTTTTACTTTTTTTAGATCAATATATGAGTATACCTAGATGCAAAGGCTTATATAATTATCGTTTCACGAGAATTGAAGCCATCAACATATCCTCACTAATTATCGTTTCGCCGTCATTTTCTCACCCATAATAATTGAGGCCATATCAACTTTTTAGTCAGTTTCTAAACTGGATTTTGTAGGAAATATTTATACGTATATTATAACATTTCATGTATAAATATTGTTAAAAAAAACTTTTATTTGGAATACATCGAATTTAAAATCAGTCTGTGTTTTCATTACCAAAGCTACTTTTTATTAAAAAAAAAAGGCCTAAAAGAAAAATAGGCGTGGGTTAATAAAATTAGGGCAAATGCATGTATTTCTTATTAAGGAAAGAAAAGATGATGCAGCTTGAGAGGAGGACAAGTTGAATGGCAATATATGAAGTTCGTGTATTATCTTTCGTGTTATATATATATATATATATATTGCTTTCCAAAAGAAATAAAAAAAACAATCTAATTCTATATATACACCATTTTAAATCAAAGGAAATTCAACAGGAAAAAGAATCCAAGAAAAATAAAATAAAAAAACAAGCAAATTCTATAAACCGTGTTAAATAAAAATATATAAAAATCAAAAGAATATAAACTAAATTAAATATATAAAAACATTTATTAAGAATTAAATCTGAAATGTGAAAAATACCTCTGAGATAGGTATATGTTATTTTTCTTTTAAAAGTAAAAAAATTATTACATTGTGAAAGAAATTTATATGAAGAACAATCCACCCCTAATTAATTAAGCGATATAATTTGAATTCCCTTGAAAATTTAAAAACACCCTCAAACGTAACACTCTTTGGTTTTGTGAAGAAAACTTTAGACTTCATAATACTATTAAAATACACAACAGTATAAGTCAAAATTAAAGCTAACGCCTTTAATTTTATTTTATTTTTAATTTATAACCTCTGCGTGTACAGGGTTGGGTTAAAGGAAAATATTGAACATTAGGTGGATATGGGTTTTGGTCTGTATGGGCTTACTTCGGCTTTCATTGGTCTTGTTTGGTTCGGGCTATACATGATGGGCTTCTGTCACATGGACTGGGTTCTTTGTAGTTGGGCTAAGTTTGCATGGGGTTAGTGTTGTTGGGCTTCAATATACATTAGGCTGGTCTTAATCTTTCCATGATAAAAACTAATGGGTTTTGGGCTATGATTTATCGGGCTACATACCAAAAAAATATTAAAAACCCCATGTTTCTTTTCAAAAAAATATAAAATAAATAAACAGTAATTATCAATTTACAAGATTCTTTTTTTTAAAAAAAAGCCAAAGTTTATGTTCCCGCTCTTGGGTTTGAAGCCAAATTATCATCATCATTTATTTTTTGGTAACCTCTATAAAATGTCTCCTTTTCAAGATAAGTATCATTTTTTACACATTTCATTTTAAAAAGAGACCAATGTCTTGATTTCAAAATCAACTAAGGGTTATGCCTATTTCTAGTGATTTCAATGAAAAATATTTTAAAATTTAATGTCAACATCTTTAATAAATCTTCTATTTTTAAGGAATGATATTATTTTTTAATGTCTAAATACCTACTTCAAATTTTTCATAAAATAAAAAAAAAATTGAAAATAATAAGGATAATTAATGGCAATCACAAAACCAATTTAGAAAAAAAGCACATGATAAATATAACATTTCATGGTAAGAATGGTATTTTTTCCATTGGGGAATCTTTGAATGGTATTTTTTCCTTTGGGGAATCTTTCGAACCACCGCTAACTTTTAAAATCCTCAACTTCCTCTAACAAATTCAATATTCCACAACGTATATTTTTATTAGATGACAAATTCAATATTTCACAATGAATATTTTTATTATTTTTAGTCGCCATCATGACACAAAGTCATTTTTTGTTATTTTCAGTCCCCATCATGATATCCACCAAGGTTCGACACATGATGCTTGACAAACTGAGTAACACCATGGTTGAATGACTATGTCGCATCTGCTTGAAAAAAAGCTATTGATGTTCTTGCAAAAATTGCCATTGGTTGGAGTGATGGAGTGATGAACCATGAATAAGTACATGCAGGTATCTTGATACTCTGACGAAACTATTGAAACAATCTAACTGAGCCATCAATGAAGAGAAAAGGAAATGAGAGGGCAAACATTATCAAGAAACCAGATAACATGATCCGTTAAATTTACACTCGGATATGTTCTATGATTGAAGAAATGCCCAGGCAACCATGGATTATAATGTGGACATCAACCAGTAAAACGCATGCCACTACAAGTTCCACCCATAAAAAAGCCCTTTGCCAAGAAGACGGTCTATATAACTTGTCTCCTGTCATGTCAACATTCACCATCAAAATGCCATAATGAGATCATGAACCAATTCGAGTAGTGTAGCCGTTACACAAACGAAAGTGATGAACAGAAGTAATGAATAATTGTTCATGAGATCTCTACCCTATGATTGTACTTCAGTTTTGTTTTAGTTCCTCGTGAGGGAAGGAAAAAAGCTAAATGTACAAAATAAAAAATACAAAAGGAAAAGAAAGAATACAATAGAATGTCAAGACTTTATTACATTCCTCCGCCCCATCGTCGTCATCATTTGGCGAGTCTTGAGAAATGATATGTTAAATTCAGCACAATGAATACAGAAGGGTAAAATTTCACCCAAAAAATGGAAATGCAGGAGATTTCAAGGGGGGAGACAAAAACTGAATTTTGTTATTTCTTAAAAACCGGTAT